TTCTCCCTCCCCTCTCCTTCCTTCTTCTCCTACTTGGACTAGGAAATGGGGAAACCTACTCCCACTAGGAGTAGGAATCCCCCCTTTGGGCGCGCCCCTTGTTGCCGGCCCTCCTCCTCCTCCCCTCCTTTATATACGGGGGAAGGGGCACCCCATAGACACGCAAATTAATCTTTAGCCGTGTGCGGTGCCCCCTCCACAGTTTTCCACCTTGGTCATATTGTCATAGTGCTTAGGCGAAGCCCTGCGTCGGTAACTTCATCATCACCGTCACCACGCCATTGTGCTGATGAAACTCTCCCTTGACCTCAGCTAGATCTAGAGTTCGAGGGACGTCACCGAGCTGAACACTTCCGGTTTCGGTCTACGAGGGTACATGGACACGCTAAGACGTTCAGTACTTGATTGGTTGGATCGCTAAGACGTTCGACTACATCAACCGCATTACTAAACACTTCCGCTTTCGGTCTACGAGGGTACATGGACACGCTCTCCCCACTCATTGCTATGCTTCTCCTAGATAGATCTTGCGTGATCGTAGGAAAAATTTTAAATACTATGTTCCCCAACAATATCAAGCGACCCCCAAAGAATGTCATCTTAAGGCTGTGAAAAGGGTAATGAGATACTTAATTCATACACCAAATTTTGGCATTTGATATCCTAAAAGGTCTTCTTTTCATCTTGTTGGCTATTCTGACTAGGACTATGACGGAGAAAAGGTTGATAGAAAGTCCACCTCGGGTACTTGTCAATTTCTTGGTAGATCTCTTGTGTCTTGGTCCTCCAAGAAACAAAACTTGGTATCCTTATCTATCGCTGAAGCCGAATACATTGCCACTGTTCATGTTGTGCTCAATTACTTTGGATGACCCAAACTCTTAAAGATTATGGGATCTATGTGAAACATGTTCCATTGCTTTGTGACAATGAAAGTGCTATTAAGATTGCTCACAATCCCGTGCAACATTCTCGAACTAAGCATATTGAAGTTCGTCATCATTTCATTCAAGATCATGTTGCCAAAGTGGACATTGATCTTAAGCATGTTCGTACCGATAAGCAATTAGCGGATATATTCACCAAACCGCTTGATGAGAAAATATTTTGCCGTTTGAGAGGTGAATTGAACATCATTAATGCCTCAAACTTGGAGTAGAAACTCCATTTGGATACATGCAAGGCATGAGCCTTTGACTAATCCTTGATATTTCTCTTATGATGATGATCATATGTCTTGAATATACTTGTACCATTACATGCTATCTAACCCTTATAGGTACTTGGATGAATCTAATTCTATGAGATTGTCGCTCACTCACATCTTAAGCAATCTCTACATCACCAAGTCTCTACAACATGGTGGTTGAAGACAAGCTTGAAACCTTTTCAACATATCCTTTGACAATTTCTCCATATCAACTTTCATTTGATACCAAATATGATTGTCATTCTGGATACACAAGTGCTCTTCCTTGCAAGACTAACCCATGTAGGTAGATGAACTCAAACTACAAGAGGTACTCCCACCTCATTGATGAGCTACATCAATCTTGAGCATCCCACACAAGTTCAACTACATGATCAAGATCAACACCACCACCCAAGGTATGTTATTCCATCTTAGAGAAGCTTTACCCCAATTCATGGGACAAAGTAGCTAACAAGATGTGAATACATCAAGATGCTTAAACGAAAAATGGTAACCCCATTTTGAGCTTAAACGATGAGTATGACCTACGATCAAGTGTTCTCACTTGACTCCTCAGTCAATATACTCTAACATGGGTGACTTTCTCGCCGATCAATTCTAGATGAAGTTCTCTAGTGTTTCTCTGAGTTCTTGCATTTGTCTCTTGCATATTTGTTCCCCTTCTTTAATCAAAAAAACTTCATCTAGACTTCTTTTCTTTTCTCTATTATGTTCTGCATTCCTTGCACCCAATTCATTGCAAATCCTTTAGTAAATTCCTTGCAAATCTTTGTGAGATCGTATTTGCCTAGTGAGCTGAGATGAAAATTGTTTCCTCTCTATGAACTCGGCCTCACCGGTTTGTCTTTTTTGGTCTAACCAAACTACTCCGGTGCCACCGAAGAAAACAACTCGGTGTTACCGATTTTACTTCTGAGGAGACACTTTGTCATTTGCATCCTGCATATTTGTTTCAGCTCCACTGCATCACACTCTATATGTTGCTTTGTCATGTGACTCAAGGACCAAACCTATTCGACTCACACTCCAGAAGATCCCTTCTTGGAAATTGATGTCAAAGGGGGAGAGAGAGAGATTACATCAAAGCTTAATTACATCAAAGGGGGGACTGCTTAATCACATCAAAGGGAGAGAGACCACAGATGCCTGGTTTTCAAGAGGAGAGAAGTCACATGTCTTTAAGAGGAGAAAGGCATGTTAGTATGTGTTATGATTGCTTTGTGTTGTTTTTCTCATTTTTCTCTGATTTTCTTGTCCCTATCTTCTCCCAGTATCCCATATAATATTCAGGGGGAGAAAGACATCTAAGAGAAGGAAATCTTAGAATTCATTGCATATATTTACTCTTTGGGGACATGTCTATACTCAAATAGAGTACCCACTACTCACTCACTACATGTCATTCCAATCTTGGTACTCTTGTGGTTTGCTATTCTTACTTTGTTTAGTATATATTTCTGTGTTATCTAACCTTGTTTACTCAGGCTCATCTTTTCCAAAGCCAGCTCAAGACCACAAGGTAAGTATATGCATCACACTCATGTGCATGATGATCTCTTGCTGATGTACATATTGTTTGCAAGGACTCATGAACATGAAGGTACACTTCCTTTATTCACATCATTTGCTCTGATGCATATAGCCAAGATACATGTAACTCATTGCTTGCTCTATCATGCTTATGCATTCACATGCTCTTATATTCAATATTTACATGAATGCATACATGTAGGGGAAGCCTATGCATGTTACATGTCTTTCCAAAGCTTTACTTGCTAGTCTTCGTATATCTATCTAAATCTTTGATGTATGTTGTCATCAATTACCAAAAAGAGGGAGATTGAAAGCATAAGTGTTTCGTGGGTGATTTTGGTAATTAATGTCAACATATCTCTTGTTGGACTAAGACTTTTATCTAGTATATTTCAGATGAGTTCAACAATGAAGTGGCGTGGACAAGAGGATATGGAACCCCTTCAAGATGCTAAGGGCAGAAGATTGGCAAAAGCTCAAAAAGCTCAAGACTCTATATTTTTATTTTAGTGATCCAACATGACATTGAGTTCATAGAAAAAGGCAATACTATTAAAAGGGAATGAGGTGTTGCTTAATGGCTTGCTTGCTTAAAATGCTTAGTGATATGCTCTAAAATCCCTCAACCACTTTCTCATATCCACAATGTCCCAAACCAAAAGTCAAACTCGGCCCCACCGATTTGATCTATCCGGCGCCACCGAGTTCATTTGACATAACCACTGCTAGAAACCCTAGTCAGTTCGGTCTCACTGATGGGATCTTGATCTTACCGAGATGGGTTTGCAAACTCTCTGTTACCTGTTGCAATAATCCCAGTCCCACCGAGTTTGCTTGATCAACTCTTTTGCTTATTATCAAAATCGGTCCCACCGAGTTTGCGTAAGCGGTCAAACCGAGTTAAAGTTTTACCCTAACCCTAGCACATCGGTCCCACCGAAAATCCTAACGTTCACATTTTGAACTAAATCAGTCTGACCGAGTTTCTCGATTAGATCCCACCGAGTTTGGTAAATTGTGTGTAACGGCTAGATTTTGTGTGGAGGCTATATACCCTTTCACCCAACCTTCATTCATGGATAGAGTCATCAGAACGTGTCTACACTTTCAGGATTCATTTTCTGAGAGAGAACCACCTACTCAAGTGTCGAGACCAAAATATTCCAATCTAACCACAAGAACCTTGATCTCTAGCCTTCCCAAATTGCTTTCCACTCAAATCATCTTTTCACCAAATCTAAATCAATGAGAGAGTTGAGTGTTGAGGAGACTATCATTTGAAGCACAAGAGTAAGGAGTTTATCATCAACACACCATTTATTACCTTTTAGAAGGTTGCGTCTTCGTAGACCCTTCATGAATGGAGCCCCCCGTGGACTCGCGCAACCGTTACCCTCTATGGGTTGAAGTCTCATATACTCTTGTCATGCTTGTTTGAAATGTTTTGTTAAGGGTGTATTACCTCCTCTAGACGCCTCTCCTCATCCTACAGGATGATAGACGACTTTACTCAAACTGAGATCCTTGTTGTGTTCGTTCTCAGTTTTGCCAAGGCTGAGCATATCAAAAGGTGAAAATGATGTTGAGTGAGCAGCAGCTGTTAGGTCGACTTGATGCCGAGCAAGAACAGACAAGTGGCGCAACTCAACGAAATGAGCAGATTTGGCTTTCCTACTAACACGATACCAAAAGAGCACAGCGAGCATGCCAATGATCATGATGCCAAGTCGAAGGAGCTGAGCTTGTGCCAAACCAACTCAATGAAGCACTCGGATCAGACGTGCACACGATCAGCCAGTCACCTCAAGTGCATGTAACAGGCTTTCGTAATCCAGGAGAATTACAACTATAAGCTAACAAAAGATGAACATGTAAGCCAAATTGCATTCACTATTATTACCGGTAGCAATATTGTGAGAGAGAACAGATGAATTTTCCAGTTCAAGTGTTCAAGGGCAGAGGTCACCACAGGTACATCATAAATTTACAAGTAGAAGCGATTCAGATTTATACCAGCACTCAAATCATAGGATACAATATATCATTCATCCAATCAATTCAAATAACCCAGAGGTGTGCAAGGATTATCAAGTCTCACAACATCAAGTGCACTTTAATTCAGGCAACAGAAGAAAACTGCAACATATTAAGTACTGCTTACATTTCCATAGCCTAGGCAAAAGACAAAGCCAGCGTTCAAGAAGTTGATTTAAATGCAGTAGAGTTTACTTCCGAAGACAGGAAAAGCAGCCGCTCAGCGCAGCCTCCTGGCCTCCCGCTCAGACTCGAGCAGGGTGAGGATGTCGCCCTCACGAACAGGGCCCTTGACGTTCCTCATGATGAGACGGTTCTGGTCATCCAGGAACTTCACCCTGACCTGGGTCACCTGACCCCTGGAGCCGGTGCGGCCCATCACCTTCACCACGACTGCGAGCTTGACCTGGGTATCCATGCTGCAAACACAAGGAATTGCATTAGGCAAATGCTGGTGTACAATTCAATTGCAATTCAGATAATACAGGAGAGCACCCAAATCATGTATGGAGATCCAAATAAAAAACGAATGCCTACATACTAGCAAGTTATCCATAAGTAAGCGGTCACCGAAAAGCAAGCAATTCAGAGGCCCTGTTTTGCATACTTTTCTGACGGGTCCAACCAAGAAATCGGCAGCAAAATAACTACCGAGGCATAATACAGCTCCAACTAAAATATGTTTAACAATAAGGTCCAATTACTCATCCATACAGATATTCAGCAAGAATTTTGCAACTAAGAACCCAGGGTTTATTTGAGATCTAAACAGTGGCTACCAACATCGGCACAAAACTAAGCATTACAAATGGAAAATGAAAGGAGCATCTCAACAAACGATAAAGCAACACCATCGGGAACGAAACTCCCAAGGAAACTAGGCAACACGATCATCAATCACAGCAACTAAATCCAGCACCAAACGTAGAGATAAAGCCCGCAGATCCGTAGAGCCACGGGTGAATAGGCGTAGGGGAGGGATGTGACAACCTTTCTTCGGCTGTTGGTGACGGGGGATCGCTGCTTCTGCTACAACGACGGAGGCGGCGGCGCAGGCGCAAGTAGGGCGGAAAGAAGACAAAGGTAAAACCCTAGCGCTCGTCTGATGCTTATATAAGGTTGCGCTGCCTGCGGCGTCGTATGCGAGCGAATGGTCTGTTGGGCCTAAAGCCCAAACGACTGCTGCTTTTCTCTAGGGTTTTTTCACGACTTTCTTTCAAAATTTGTCATTGCAACTCTAGGCCTCTACTGCAATCCGCAACCACCAAGGTGATCGTCAACAGGGTGGTTGGGAAGAGTTTTCGGCATGCTTATGGGCTGCGTCAGGAAGACCCTATCTCATCGCTACTCTTCATCATTGCAATGGACACTCTGACGAAGCTCATGCAGAGAGCTATGGAGGTTGGCGTGCTCAGCACCTTCCCTGGTATCACGGCCATGCAAAGGATCTCCATATATGCTAACGACGTGGCGTTGTTCGTTAAACCTACTGCCTTGGATCTGAGCTTTTTGAAGGAGGCCTTGGAAGCATTTGGTGAAGCATCGGGGCTTAGTGTGAACTACCGGAAATCATCGGCCATTGTGATTAGGGGCGATATGAAGGACAAACAGAGGGTGGCCGCGCTGCTGCAGTGTGACATGCCAGAGTTCCCGCGCAGGTACTTTGGACTACAGCTTGCGGTTAAGAGGCTGTCGAGCGGATTGGCAGCCCATGCTGGACAAAGTGAGGTACTTTGTTCCAGCATGGCAAAGGGGGGTGATTCAATGTAACGCCCTCGATGCGGCTATAGCTCCCACGTGTCGAGGCACGACTTAGAGACATAACCGCATTGAAAGCAATGTCGCAAGTTAGGCAATCATTACAACATCCCATGTAGTATATGATAAAAAGGGGAAGATAACATAGTTGGCTTACACTCGCCACGTCACATCAGAGTACATAAATAACATCCATCAAACAAGCACTCATGGCCCGACTACGGCGCCAAAATAGAAAAGAACCCAACATGCGACAAGGTCCCGAATCGATAACCCCAACTAGGCACCACTACTGATCATCGGGAAAAGAAATATAGTATCGCTGAGAGTCCTCGTCGAACTCCCACTTGAGCTCGTAATCGTCAACTGGAGCAGAAACACCTGGACCTGCATCTGGAGTTGTAGTATCTGTGAGCCACAGGGACTCAGCAATCTCACACCCACGCGATCAAAACTATTTAAGCTCATAGGAATGGATAAGGCAAATATATGTGGAGCTGCAGCAAGCGACTAGCATATGTGGTGGCTAACTTATACGCAAAAGAGAGCGAGAAGAGAAGGCGAAGCACGAGCGAGAAGCTAAAGGAACATCCTGCGCAAGCATAACTCCAACACCGTGTCCACTTCCCGGACTCCGCCGAGAAGGGGCCATCACGGTAACACACACGATTGATACATTTTAATTAAGTTTAGTTAAAGTTATCTACAACCGGACATTAACAAATTCCCATCTGCCCATAACCGCGGGCACGGCTTTTGAAAGATCAATCCCTGCAGGGGGGTCCCAACTTAGCCCATAACAAGCTCTCACGGTCAACGAAGGAATAGACCTCCACCCAAGACACACCGATCAGACTCGGTATCTTGGTACAACAAGATGATTCGGCAGGTTAAAACAAGTCCAGCAACACCGCCCGAATGTGCCGACAAATCCCGATAGGAGCTGCACATATATCTTTCTCAGGGCACACTCAGATGAGCAATCCGTACAACTAAAACCAAACCTCGAGTTTCCCCGAGGTGGCGCTGCACAGGGCTCTAGTTCGGACCAACACTCAGAGGAGCACTGGCCCGTGGGGGGCTAAAATAAAGATGACCTTCGGGCTCCGGAAACCCAAGGGAAAAAGAGGCTAGGTGGCAAATGGTAAAACCAATGTTGGGCCTTGCTGGAAAAGCTTTAATCAAGGCGAACTATCAAGGGGTTCCCATTATAGCCCAACCGCGTAAGGGACGCACAATCCGGGAACATAACACCGATATGACGGAAACTAGGGCGGCAAGAGTGGAACAAAACACTAGGCGAGGGCCGAGCCTTCCACCCTTTACCAAGTATATAGATGCATTAAGATAACATAGTAATATAATGATATCCCAACAAGTAAATAAATGTTCCAACAAGGAACGGCTCCAATCTTCACCTGCAGCTAACAACGCTATAAGAAGGGCTGAGCAAAGCGGTAACATAGCCAATCAACGGTTTGCTAGGACAATGGTGGGTTAGAGGTTCAACATGGCAATTGGGAGGCTGACAAGCAAAAGGTAGGCATCGTTGCAGTGGCAAAGCAAAAGAGCGAGCAAACTAGCATAGCAAAGATAGTAGTGATTTCGAGGGTATGATCATCTTGCCTGCACAGTTGTCAAAGTTGACTGGATCCTCACAAGCAAACTCAACGGGCTCCTCGGTAGCGAACTCGTCTCCCGGCTCTACCCAACAAGACAAACAAGCAACAAGGATACAATCAACCACGGCCAAGTCCAAGCAATATGATGAAACGACGATATGCTATGCGGGATGCGATGCGGGATGCAAAATGCAAGATATGACAGGAAAAGCATGAACCTGGCATCAACATGGAAAACCAAGTGTGCCACTGGATAGAGGGGATGAAATCGATTGAAAACGATATAAAGATCATTGGAATCGGAGTTACGGTTTGGAAATGGCAAGCGTTTTAAGATATGACACCGGTATGCGATTTACAGCAGGTAGGCATCTAAATGCAACAAAATGAACATGCTACAGCCACCAAACATGAAAACAAAATACATGGCAGTGAAGTACACAAGATGGTTGACAAAACACTAGCACTGAGCCATAGGCAAATTCATCCATTAAGAGGTTCAAACAAGCATGGCTAAAACGCAAATGCAAAATAGATTCCAGACTTAGTGAAATTAACACTAGTCTGAAATTTCAGATCACGATGCTCTCTTCGGAGCAGCAAAACAACATGATAGAAAACCTGAACATGACAAGTAATAACATGGCATGGAACTACTCAACAAGCTTAACAAAACACCCAAAGTGACCTGGGGCCAAAAGGGTTCACAAAATACTCTACCGAGCTCACGAACATCGCTCGAACACAATCAGTTTTTAGACTTAGTGAAAACTGAGACACGCTGAAATATAACTCACGAAGGCATGTAAACGAGCTCGATGCACTCACTACGGTGCAAGTCATGGCAAGGAAAGCATATAACCAGCAAGAAGGCACAATGTGCTAGCTACACATGGCAAGAACAAAGGCATAGCATGCATGGAACACTAACGGTAGCATCGGCAAGATCGCAAACAAGTTGACGATCTGCCCAGATTAACAACGAAGCAAAAGTTGAGCTCGATCGAGTCAACCTAGAGCACTCCACATATGCCAACAAAGACATGGATGGATAGAGCATAAAATAAATATCAAAACTCCCTTACCGATCATCCTCAAAAGAGGCACGGATCACTAGGAAACAAGCTGGACATATAGCATCATGAATTAAAATATCCCAGACTTAGTGAAAATCACCAAGTCCCTGAAATCTGCAATCTCAGGTACCTCTCTTCACAAGCTTGCACAAGACAACACACACATCCTAAAAATATATGGGTGGCACCTCTGGAAAGAAGACAAAATGCTTAACAATTCATCCCAAAGGGGCACAGGCATATCATGCACGAATTAAACATAGCAAAAATGACAAAAGTGCATGATGAACTAACGGATCTGCAATCTAACTCACGAAGCCTCCTTCTAACAGCATTTTGGGCATCAAGATGACCTCAAATGCTAATGATGCAATGGAATGAAATGATGTACATGTCGAGATGAAGATTTTGATACATCATATGCCCAAAACGGAGCTATGGTTGCGGAGATACAAGCAGTCAAAGAATGCATAAAAAACTAGGGTTTCTGGACAAAAGTCAACGGGGGGGTTGGACTTGAGATCTGGAACCGCACGGAAACCGAGGCGGCGCCAGAACAGTGTAGCAACGGGGCGTCGCCGGAGCTCGTCGCGGCTCGCCGGAGGAAGAGGGACGGCGGCGTCGGGCGCCGGGGCGACGAGGGGCGGAGGCGGCGGCGGAGAGCGGGGGCGGCGGCGTAGTGGCTTCGGCCACCGGAGTCGCTGGACGGGGCGGCAGG